TAGCCCTGGAAAGGTCACACACGTTACTACGACCACAACAATGAAGACAATTTTGTTCTGTTACTACCTTGTTTATGCTCACGTGTCCTTTATGTTGTTGTTTTAGTAATGTGCCTTCAAGTAATTTCTGACTTATGACAACCCTATCATGGGGTTTTCTCTAAATCCCAATCCATATACACAGTAGGCTTTTATAGAAAGCTGTTGAAAAACAGGCAAATGGAAGCCACAAGAAGGCTGACTAACTGCTAGTGCATGCTTCCTCCTTCATTTCTGAACCAAAAGATTCCTGCAAACCTTTGCTTTGAATTATTGAACTGAGCACATCACTGATCATTTTTCATAGACTCTACAATACTTCTCTCTCTCTCTCTCTCTCTCTCTTTTTTTTTTTTTTAAAAAAAGGACATCTCATAACAACTGTAGTCAAACTGCAGAAATACTCACAGGAAGGCTGCATGGTTTTCCATTAATTTTCACGCAAAGATTTGGTGGAAAGTGATCTTCCTGTGGGCAACTGGTCTCTGATAAGCAAAACCTACAGAAATTCAGTAGTATTTTAGATTCAGTTTTGTACTTGGATTTTAATAACATCAAGTGATGGAGAGATGTGCTTTCTACATATATCTCAATTTAGCTGTGAGCCACTGTTGTGTTGTGGTTGCAGTCCATTACATATAGCCAGTAAATTTCATTGTATGAGCAAATGTAGAGCTAGCAAACTGAGGGAAGGGTTGAGAATTAAGCTTAGATCTTTCCTTTCCCACAATATCTCCTTTTTTGCTTTAATTTGGAACTTTGGCATGGATATAAAGGCAAAAATTACTATCTTGAGCAAAAACTGTTAAGTAGAAAACATTGGAATGGTGGAGTAGTTTTTCCTTCTCTGTTACCAAGTGAACCCAGATGCTCACGCACAGCAGGAAAAGGGAAGAGGAGGAAACAAGGGAAAATAGAAATGAATCTGAGGCTAATAAACAGTGTCAGATGCAACTCATTTACTAATATCAAGGAGGCATTAGGCCTCACTCCCCATTTCAAATGGCCACTGTATTGCATCCACACTCTCAACAGCACATACGTGTTCCCCCTGCACAGGCAGAGGCAAATATGCAAAGGTACACAATCTCCTTCAGGAGGTAATGACAAAATTAACCAAAGCTGCAGCCAATTCTTCAGCCACAGGCAAGGAAAAAGCAACATGAGAATCAGAGAAGAGTTTTCTCTTCTCCATTTCTCTAGCCTACTGGGGGTAGGGAGTGGGGAGAGAAGAAGTGAGAATGTGTGGATCTAATGGGGAGGGTGTATATGTGTACAGACATTATACAAAATAAGCATATTTATTAGGAGTTCTCAGTGAGGATAACTTATATGGACCATAGACAAACAATACCTTAGCTGGACCTGCACAGTGAAGTCACATTTAGTTCCAGAAATGTCCCTAGAAAAAAGGAGATTAAAAGTAGTGCATTAAAATAAACCAAATATAAGAGATGGATATTTAAGTCTTGAAATGTTAAACATGCTATCACCCATCTGAGCTGTCAAACTGTCCAGAAAAAACAACACTATAGTACTGGATGTTTATCAGGATCATACCTGCTTATCTAGTCACTCTGCCCCACTACCCAAAATCCAACTTTAACAAGATGTCTAAGCAAAGAGACCGCTGGTCTGATCCAGCAACACAATTTATTGTCTGGCAGCCTGTATGTTGCTTCGCATGACAGGAATCACTTTGTCCAATGATGAAAACATAACAGCAATTCCAGAAAGCAAATAGTGAGCAAAAAGTAGATCTTGGGATATTTTGGATTTCAATAGCAATCAGCCCTTGCCAGCGTGAGAAGTGGCTAGAGAAGTCTTATACATCTGGATTTCTACCTTCTGGTCACTGCTACCAAAAAGCATTCAAGGCTGTATCCACACTGCTGATTTGATGTAGTTTGACACCACTTTAACTATCATGGCTCAATGCTAAGAAATTATGGGAACTGCAGTTTGTCGTGGCACCAGAGCTCTCTGACAGAGACGTCTATATGTCTCACAAAACTAACAGTTCTCCGAGTTCCACAGCACTGCACCATGGCAGTTAAAGTGGTGTCCAACTGGATTATTTCTGCAGTGTAGATGCAGCCCAAGTCAGTTACAGGCCTGCCACGGTCTCCTGAGTCAGATAAATGGTGTTAATAATCACAACCACTTACATAGAACTACTTATCTGCTGCACTTGCTGTGGAGTCAGGGCAAATGCAAAGCACGTTTCTCGAAACCGTTGGCTGTTATCTGATGCTACGGGAAGACAAGAGGAGATTGAATAGATCTGAAAAAACTAAAAACATCCACAGGCATTTCACATTCAACTGAAAGGAGGGATCAGTTTGGCAAAGACAGATGTATTCATGGGAGTGACCATGACCACGTTTGAAAATCCACCAAGATTTAATGTCTATATTCCTTACTTATAATAAGTGAGAAGCTGCACAGACTCACATATCAGAGCTTTCTCATAGTTATTTTAAAGCTGTTATATTTACATTCTTAAAAAGCACTTTTAAAAACTGATTTATTTAATGATCATTATAAAAATTATTTTAAAATGTTTATTAAACAGCAATCTTCCCTGCTAAAAGCATTTAGAACTTTTAATACTGTGCTTTATTAATTATTCTGCATATCTATTCGTTGCATGATTCAGAGTACAAAAATTTATCATGCTCCTTGATCAAATTGATTTATATTCCAAATTCCCCTATCTTTTCATTCAGTTTGAAGCTTTAAGTACATATAATCTGCTTTAATAACTATGAAAGTAAGGGCTTGTAATACAAAAGACTGAGGAACCAGCTGTACCAAATAGTTCTATGTTAGTCAGTCAATATATGGTATTTTAATTATAACAAAAAAGGCACAACACGAACATTTACGTTCCATTTCTTAATGAACTCCATTGATAGATTGTAGTAACAACACAATAATACTAATCCTAAAGGCAACAGATTCTGTTTGATCTTGGAAATTAAGCTGGATCAGCCCTGGTTATACTTGGATGGGAGACTGACAATGAACCCTAGATGCCATAGGCTGTATTTCGGAGGAAAGAACTGCAAAACCATCCCTGAATAGTCCTTGCCTAAGAAAACCCTATGAAATTCATGGGGTTGCCATAAGTTCTATAAGGTCTGGTGGAAGTCACACAGGATTATTCCAAGCAATGAACATAGCTTTCCAACCCAAGTATCATTTTCAAGACTGTTGTTGGGGATAAACTTCTCAAGAGAATATGATGCCTAACTGGAAAACTAGGTGACTACCAGGGCTAGTGGAAGCCACTCTTTTCGCCTAGAAAAGAACCATGTTCAACACTACCCAGCCCTTCTGTAACAAGGTAAGTCACTAGTACTGGACTCCTAGTCCAATTAATTGCTATGCACTGCTTAAGTATACAATCAGCCCTCTGTAGTCACAGATTCTGCATCCAAGGAGTCAACCATAAATAAATCTAGCCACTTCCAGGTTTTAAGGGGACATTCTAGGTAGTCCATACAGCCTCAAAGTAGAATCACAGTTGCCCATCACTGTTTTAGACAAAGCTAGGCTGGAAAGCTTCATCATTTAAAGGAAGTGAGAGCAAAAAATAACCATCCTAGTTTTAAAGGGAACTGAAAGTAAGCCAAATATGTCTCTAAAAATACATTATTTATCAAGATGGAAGCTAGCCAGGACTCTACAACCAAAGCCACTCCTCTCTGGAAGAAGCCCAAGAAACCCTTTAAATAATAACAACAAAAATGCACTTATTGCTTTTTTCAGACTGCACCTACACTAGAGTGTTGAATTATAAAACATAAAGTATTAACAATGCAGAATTTCTATTAGCATAAAATATTTATTTACCAAGGAGGAGAAATTATATTATTTATTCCCAAAGAGTTGGGGCAGCAATACGAGAGTACCGCTGGCTTTGCAACTGCTTTGTGAAATATATGAGGCTAGAAGAGCAGAAGTGACCCAGGCCCCCATGAGATTCATGTCTTGGTGAAGCCATATCTCCCTGGTTTAAGCCCATTGTGATACCCATAATGCTGCACTGCCTGCCTCTCTTTGTTTGGCACAGTAGAATATACCTATGAGGAAAAACACAAAGGCCCTACACAAACACACACATTTAGGTTGTGTGTTGATGATAACAACATGTTTGCCCAGGAGAAGTAGGGAGAGGTATATGAAAATTAAGATTGAGGTTAAGAAATACTATTATAGCAGTAGGAGAAAAACATTTCAAACCTGATTATGCATGTACTGTAATGTGAACCTATGACAGAATGGGGGGGGGGGGGAACAACCTTCAAATCCTTCCTGCCAGTTTACTGAGGCTACAGTGGATGTCTTCATTTCTTCAGCTTAAAACTATATATATTAATACACCCCCAACCTCTCTGGGTAGTAGCCATAAGCTAAATATAGCACTGCAATCTTTCTTCTGTAAAATATTCCTTGCTGCGTTGGAAAAAGCTCCCCTCAGATAACCATTCAGGAATGTTCTCCCGCCGTCTTTGATGAACGCTGCCCTATTCAGCCTACAGCAGGCTGCAACACTCCATTTCAATGGTCATCAGCTCAATTTATTAGTTAAGAATGCTTTCCATCTTCCCTGGCAAATTGGCCATTGCTAAATAATTAAGCACTTACTGTGATGACTAAGGATAAAATATGTCATGAAGAAACTATTTGCTGGAGAGATTTCATGCTACAATAAACTCTAACTTATTTGAAAGGAGAAAATGTTTTCACTAACTTGGTGCATTACATTTATTTCTCTACAAAGCTTATGTAAGAGCAACCACATAAATACATCATAAGATTATAGCCATGGTTGTTGTTGTTGTTGTGTTCCTTTAAGTGACTTCCAAGTTATGGTGATTCCAAGGCAAACCTATCATGAGGTTTTCTGGGACCGAGAGTGTGTGACTTGTCCAACGTCACCCAGTGGGTTTCCATGACCAAGCGGGAAATCGAACCCCGATCTCCAAAGCTGTAGTCCAACATTCAAACCACTATGCCATGTTGGCCTCCTAGAGCTATTATAGTCTTATCCGTTTGAGAGATCTATAATAAATTCAGTATTACTGCATATTTACATTATATGCATTATTGCAATATTAATGCACATTTGCATTGTTGTATATTTATTAAGGAATTGGCTTGATTGGAGAGAAAGGATCTTGAATTAATTCCAGCACACAGTCCCTTAGCAAATGAATATTTGCTAAGTGAATCAAATCTATGAGACTGGGCAAGAAAGAAGAGAACCCTGATGCCATTTGTTTATGCTGACATAAACCAGTTTTGTGAGTTTCCATTCCCGCTCCATGCTTTTGACCAGCACCTCGCTGTATTTGGAAGACAAGGCCCTCTATTTAGGCATCACTGCTGGTATCTGCCGTGGGCCCTGGGGAATAGGCTGGCAATACATAAGCAAGTCCTAAGCACTCCACAGAATGAAGTCAGCCACAGTTCTTACTGGCAGAAGCTGGCATTTGTGAATAAGAGACATGCAAAGCCATTAACTCCATGAACCAGCTGGAGTTGGAGGCATTTCTGAAGAATAATAATGTTAACCACAGAATACTGGAGTGAGTGCCAAAAAGCACCTGACATACATATTTTCAGTGTGGCTCTGTAATCTTATTTTAGTAGTAAGGGCTCCACAATTCAGCGGTACCCAAACTTTTGTCCTCCAGATGTTTTGGACTCCACCTCCCAGAATCCCTAACAACTGTCTGGGTTGGCTGGGGTTTGTGGGAACTGAAGTCCAAAACATTTAGGTCTCATTACTTTAAGCTGGAGATGAAAAGGCAGAAAAGGGGAATGTCCAAGTCAAGTAAGTAGGAAGCATCAGCAAAGGAGATGGGGAACACACAAAAGATCAATTCAGTCTCATAATAACAGAGAGAAATGGCTTTAGCACAAAAAAGAAAAGGTGGAAACTGACCATTCTGCCAATTTGGAAATGGAAAGTGAAGCTTTCACTTGGATTTCAACTTTGAAATTCAAAACTTGGCAATGGAGAAGAAATAGAAAGTCAAAACTGAAAGTAATAAATGTTATGCCTTTCAAGGGTGTTTAAATCTGTACTACATGAGTAGCCATTTTACTCTTAATATGAAATTCTAGAATTAATGTTAACAGTGAGGGAAGCAGCAAGCACCTTCAACTCAATTCTTTAAATGTTTAAAGTTCTGCTACAAAGCATAACTTTGCTTAGGTGCTTTTCCATCCCCTTCCATTGCTGTTGCTAAGAGTTTCTACATTTTCCACATAAATTGTTCTACTGGCTATGCACAGCTATAGCTCTGTCTACAAGTGTGTGTAAAGCAGATCTGTGCCAATGTTTTTAGCTTTAAAATATGAGTCCAAAATATTTTATTACCTTCAGACACAAGTCATTGCAAATAGGCTTTAAATATATCAGAAATTCACAAAATTTCTGGTGATCTCGTTTTGGCTTTATGTGATAGCCATTCTCAAAGTTTAGTTGTCTCGTTTTTTTGTTCTACAAAGCAAGTATGTCTATTTTAATTCCACTGTCCAGGAGGGGGATTTACTGAGGTGGCTAGGAGTGCTAAGCTACTATGCACCAGCAACTCAATTTGATGCTATTCTGAAAGAAGTATTCATAAATGAAGTTTCCATCGAATCTTGGCCAATGTATCTGTGAAACCCTGGTTTTCAAATTCACATTAAAACGAAATTAACTGTAGTTGGCAAGAACAGGATGTATAAGACACTTCAATGATCATTACTGCCCTGTTCCTTAAGTAAGTCAATATAAGCCACTCTTGGAAACAAGACATTGAGCTAGAGCAATCCAACTTGTCTAACTTGGTGTGGCAAGTCACTGCTTGCTTGTTCTCATTTATTAAGTTTCTAAATCTAGACCAGATCTTCCTATAGCAATAACACAGTCATTCTGGGCTCTAGAGCTCTTTTATGAATTGAAGACACAATTGTTTCAATTACAGAAGACTCAAACAGTTCTGAATATTTTTATATTTATGTCAACAAGTCAAAACCAAAAGTTAAGCTAGTTGCCATAATGTTTCCTTCTCCACATTAACAGATGAAACAAATTAGCTAGGGATGGAGTTTTTACAAACATTTTGAGTTCATCAACCAAGCATGGTAAGAGATGGGGATCCTATATTCCAGGGGCTTTAGTCCTTCCTCAAAGGAAGATTCCAAAAAGTGGTACTGAGAAGTTCCATTTTCAGAGATGCAAGGGTACATCAACAAGGGTACACCAACAAACACACCAATAAATGGATAAACAAACATCTGACACCTCACCTAAGAGAACTCATCATCTAGCTGTCTGTAAATATTAAGATTTCTTCTATGTTTTACAAAAAGTTCAACGAGCAATTTATTAATGGGAAACATTAAAAAGATGTCACGCACTCGTTGAAATTACAGAAGTCTACTTTTAGGGAGCTCAGCCCATTTTTAATCAACTGAGTATAACATATTGGTTTTATTCCTATTCCCACCGATGGAACACTATTAAGTGGATTATACCTATGAAAAAGTTGTGGGCACACTTGAATATGTAAAAAAATGTAAGAAAAATAAATTTAAGATTAAAGAGCAGAACAAGGATGGCTTCCATGAAAGACCCCTTGAAGGGTATAGGTCAGCATCTCATGCACAAGCATGCTTTTATTTAAAATCACTGGCTTGGGGAAAGTCTACAGGCTCAGTATATGTAACATTTACTTTCTCTACCACTACATCTGGCTGCAGAAATAATCCACCATTTTAACTGCCATGGTTCAATGCTATGGATTTTTGGGAATTGTAGTTTGTTGTGCTCTCTGACAGAAAAGGCTAAATGTCTCACAAAACTACAATTCCACAATTCCATAGTATTGAATCATGACAATAGAAGTGGTGTCAAACTGGATTATTTCTGCAGTGTGGATACAACCTATGGTTATACTCTATTCTACTTACTATGCTAAAACTGTGTTGTAATGTTTGTTCACCATCACTAGGTGTCACCACAGGGCTCTTCACTAACAAAGCCTATCAAGAACAATAACATACCCTAACCCTAACCCTACCCAGGGCCTTATATATAGTTTATCCCTATTTTATGCTAATCAAATTGCATTACAGAGGGTAACCAGAAGTAATTACAGCTCAAAGTAGCTAAAATATTCTTGGAGTTAATGTCACAATCCAACAAATTAAGACTATGTATCTTGCCTGGGGCCAGTAGTATAAATCCCTTTAAAATGATTGCAGACAACATAGCCATGGTCTTTTTATTAGCGGAGGAGGACAGTTGTCTTAGGTAGTCCTATTTCACATGTTTTGGACAGAGTCAGAAGCCATGGCTAGCAGAAAATTAATTCTGTGTCATTTTGAGACACTGGCTCCACTGAAATATATTGCTCATTCTCATTATGTAAACAGGAAAATACTTTCAAAATATCAAGGGAGAAACAGGAGAAAGGGAATAGGTGAAACCACTTACCCATCCTCAACAGCAGACACAGGGGAAAATATATATATATATATATATATATATATATATATATATATATCAATCACACAGGAGAGAAAGGAAGGGGGGGAAAAACCATTGGAATCAGCTCTGGGATAGTAAATGCTTGAGAAAAGTATTGTCCAAAATTATTTAATTCTACTGATAAAACAAAACAAAAGAGTGGCAGGACCACAGGATTCATGTCCAAAGAGGCAGGATGCTAACTCTTCTGGATCGCACCACCAAACAACCCACCAATATTAAGCTGGTGGTGGATCAAATTCCCATTGTGCTCCAACGGGGCCCAGAGAGAAGGAAAGAAAGCAAGCCGGAGACCCTGCAGGGCTGGCTCTCATCCAGACAGGAAGTCATAAGTGACTGGAATTTACATCAGCCATTTGGAGACTGAACAAGTCTTTTGGGGGAGAGGCGGAATTGAACGCATTCAAAATATAGAAAGCTTCAGGTCTTTGGCCTTTGGGACTGAGCACCATAGGTTAGTCTAACCGAATGCTAAGAAATGCTCACACGCCAATATTTTACAGTGGCAGTATTTGCATGGCAACACAGTTTTAACCTTGAGAAATGCATGTCCACACTTTATTTTTAAGAAGCACCTTTCCAGCTTTAAGTTCACCACACTAGATTACGTTTGAACTAGTGTTCCTTGCAAGTAAATCTTAATGTCTTCTCTATCACTGTGCCTTAATGCTTTTGCAATGGATTTTTCTAAGACAGTGTGAACTCAAGAGTACCAAGTTTTATTTCTACCCAGCACTGGTCAATGCCATGGAATAGTTATAAGGCATCCGTTTCTGGTTGCCACTAGCAACAGCAAAGTTGAGTGCTCTGATGGAAGAATATGGAAAAGGTGAGCCCAGTTTTCTTCCCTTAACACATAAAGAGAAAGGCTTGTGGTATCTGTCTTGAACAGGCAAAATGTTACATAGGTATAAGATGAAACTGGCAAAAATCTGGAAGAACCCTCTTGACAGCAGGCAATGACAGCCTCTGCAACATTTTCTAAAGCCTGCATAGACTTTTCCAAGAGGGAAAGACTGCCCTTAGGGATCTGCAACTGTGAGCTGGAGAGACCGTCTTCTCTTTGTGTATTTTATAGTGGACAACCTCCCCTTCCAGCCCAGTAGCTTTCAGATGTGTTGTACTACAACTCCCACCCCTCCCAGCCAGCGGGGAGGCATCTATTGTAAAGGATGGAGAGACAGAGATTGCAGCTGCATTCACATCCACCTTATGGGCTTCCCATGTGGAAGGGATAATTGGCTGAGCAAAATGAATGGTAAACTAGATCAGATTCTGGCCCTACAATCTGGGTTTCTATGTGCTAACCCACTGGATCTAGAAGGCATCAGGCTAGGAAAGCTGACAAGAACTCCTCCTCTAAAGATCATGGTAAGAAGAAAAAATGCATCACTTAGCAAAAAAGCTCTGAAGATTGAGACTTGTAAACCAGTATTTCCCAGTCACCTATGGTGCTAAGAATTTCCACGCAGTGGTTAGG